CTTGTGTTGTTATACTCTTTCGTAATTGTTTAACTTGTTTAAGTTAATACCCGCTGTTTGAATTGCGTGACTGCATGTTTTGGGGCACCACTGAGCTTTAGCTAACCCCATGTTTATTTGTTTTCCTTACAGGATGGGAAGTTTGAAAGTTTTTGGGCAGCTTATATTTCCTATGGTTGTACTTGAACAATTTGAATGTAATTTTCGGTCTGTAATGAATTCTAAGCTAAGCATTGTACTTTTCATTTTGGATTGCCACTTGAAGCTGGAAAAGTGTGATCTCTAATTCTAGTACTCAATTTGTATGTTTGTATTAGGATAGTATGTCCTGATCTATTGCGAGCGTCGCTGGAAGTATTTAAGAACCGTCGACTGGCTAAGTTATATGCTGTTATCTTTGAAGCTAATGTGTTGATAGAAATCTATTTACTTTCGGAAGAATCTTAATTGTAATAGCTTGGGTTAATCGTCGGAAGGTTTTAGGTTAGAATGCTTGCGTGAGTCCTGGCGAGAGTTGGGCAGACGGCCCGCCAACCCTTTGGTTCGCCTTAGGGGGAAGTGGGGTCGCCACAGTCTAAATCATGGAAATTGGGAAAGTTTCCTTATTAATTTAGCCCTCTCTTTAACTTTGGAAGTATCGTATATAGAGTACTTTATATAAAGTGGGAATGCCACTTCAATTGTTGATGGTCTTTCGTCCTCTGCTCATGTGCAAATCACATGGCCGTGCAAATCCCGTTGCTGGTCCTAAGTGGGCTGATGCCTTTTTGCTCCTCCTTCATCATGCACTGTCATCCTCCGTCATCATCCACCGTCATTTTTCATTATCCATTATTTGCTTCTTTTTTATATACCCATTCTGTTTTTTCCCCTATCCTTCTTTGTTTTTATATTATATTATTTTATGTACTATATACCTGTTTTCTATTTAGTCTATATTTTATATGTTAGTTATAAATTCTTTTTTATATATTATTTCACTATTCAGTATTTGCTTTATTAGTTCACTTTTCAGTATTTGCTTTTTTTATTTTGTACCTATGCTGTTTTTTTCCCTTTCCTCCTTTAAAATACATATTTAGTTTTTTAAAATATATTTTTTCCTTTATCCCATATTTAATATTATTTATTCTATTCTTATTATTGTCTGACTATCTTTTTTCCCTTTTGCATAATAATTTTCTTCGTTTTATTTTCGTTTTCCAATCTTCTTTGTAATTTTTCTTATATGATGTATCTTACCTATATTGTAATGAAAATATTATTAATCATGGTAACAATAGCACTTATTATTATAGGGCTAATACTAATGACAGATTAGTATAATATCTTATCTATATTGTAATGACAATATTATTAATCATAATAATAATGGTACTTATTATTATAAGTCTAATACTAATGATACATTCGTATAATTAAAACAGACCATTAATAATCGAGCTAATATAAGCAGATGCCTTGCCCGTTTCTCCTATTGGTCGGCGGAGCCACCTCTCGCTGAGCATACGCAGCCTGCAATCCATTAGTTTTTGGCGTCTCCATGCAAGATTTGCACGTCTCTAGACATGCTTTCCCGGGTTCTCATGCCTGCAGGAGAATCCCGGTAATCATTTGAATTCTTTTCCCTTACATTTCAGCCTTCTTTCCTTATTCTTTTGCTTCATTTTGTGCATTACTTCCACTTCTTCTTCCTCGAGCTTTTGCTTTGCTCTGTTTCCTTGTGCGTCTTTCTTCGATCAGTGTTATTGCTGTTTTCTTGCTGTTTGCTATTACATCGATAGTAAGTGCTGTTCCAATTTCACTATTCCTATTCTTGTAATACTCTTTGTAAAACAGACCATTAATAATCATGCTTACTGCTTTATTCTACTTGACTATGCCATTATTATTCATCTTCCATTTTTTTGTTGCTTTACGCTTCTGTTTGTTCTATCGTTTTCATTTTCATTCCGTTGTTGTCTCTTATTGTTTTAGCTCCACTTTTTACTGTCACTTCTACCCAGTTTTTTTGTTGCCTCAGTTCATTTTTTTGTCGGCTTCCCTGCTGAAACATTGCCTCTGTTGTATATGTTTCATATGCTGTCTTGATCATCTTCGTTTTCATACTATTATTGTTTCTGCACTTTGTGGCTTTCTGACGTTTTTTGCTTTTTCCATGGCCCTCTTGATTTCCTCCATGTTCTGCTTGCTACGAGTTGCTACTTATTTTCCTGCTTTAGCAAAAAAGGTACTTAACCTTTTTTTTATTGTGCTAGAGCCTTTTTTTGCCGGCTAGAGCCTTTTTTTTGCCGGCTTTCCCGCTGAAACATTGCCTCTGTTGTATATGTTTCATATGCTGTCTTGATCGTCTTCGTTTCCATGCTATTGTTGTTTCTGCACTTTGTAGCTTTCTGGCATTTTTTGCTTTTTTCATGGCCCTCTTTATTTCCTCCAGGTTCTGCTTGCTGCGAGTCGCTACTTATTTTCCTGCTTCAGCAAAAGAGGTGCTTAACCTTTTTTATTGTGCTTTAGCCGTTATGTTTACTGATCCATTGATCTCTGTTCTTCTCCTTTTAGAAGCGTTGCCTCTGTTCTATATGTTTCGTATACTTTCTTGTGCACTTTCATTTTCATGCTATTATTGTTTGTACACTTTGTAGCTTTCTGTCATTCTGTCATTTATTGCTATTTTTCGTGGCCCTGTTGATTTCCTCTAGCTTCTGCTTGCTACAAATTGCTACTTATTTTCCTTGCTTCAGCAAAAGGTACTTAATATTGTTTATTGTCATTGAGCCGTTATGTTTGTAAGAGCCCGGTGCAACCCAATGAGTACAAACAAATTCACAATGATGCACAAAGATATATCAAATTTAATCACAATAAAGAAAACTTAATTAAAGAGAAAAGATAAGAAATGCAAACCAAATATCAAACCAATAGCCTCTTCAATTGATGGCGATGCTAACCAAGATGTACAAGTGAAGGCTCACTCCTTCCTCACCCCAAATACTCTTTGGTTGAGCCAAGGAGTTTTACAACTATTCTAGTTAACCCTCAACAACCTACACTTGAAAGATCACTCACCCAATTAAGAACTATTTTATACAAATGAGGCAACCTTCACCAAGGTTTTACCACTCCAAGTGATTGGTTCACCTTCACCAAGGTTTTACTACTCCAAGAGAGTAACCTTCACTTGAGCAACCTCACAACCCAACTTCCCCAACCCCTTATACAACCAACAAAGAATCTTTCTACTCAAAAATCTCACTTGTAAGCTTGTATTTTGTGTTGGCAAAAGTCTCTAGTCTTCTTGTGCTTTGGGGTTTTTATAGAAGGTGAGAAATGGCTCCAAAAGACTCTCCAACGGTCAAATATTAATTGCTGTCAAAACTAGCCGTTGGCCTGTCGGACGTCCGACAGGTGCCTGTCAGACGTCCGAACCACCTGTCGGACGTCCGAACCCTGCGTCCGAACGTAGGCAGAGAGTCATCAAATCTTTGCGAAATTTCTCGGACGTCCGATGCGATCGATGTGCGTCCGAGGCGTGCGTCCGATCCTTCCGGACGTCCGATGCTTCCTCACGAGCGTCCGACAGAGTTTCCTTCTTGATGTTCTTCATCCTTTCGGACGTCCGATAGTTTCCTTTTGGCCGTCCGACATGAGTGACCTGATTTTGCTTCTTCATTTGGTTGGTTTTCTTTCCTTGACACCATTGAACCTGATTCTAACAAATTTCTCACATAAAAACATTAGACCAAATCTACATTTTGGTTTGTTAATCATCAAAACCAAGGATTGATCGACCAAGGTCAACAATGTTTACTGCTCCATTGAACTCCGTTCTTCTCCTTTTATCAGGCAACAATTATTAGCTACTTTGTTCTCCATTTTTCTGTGTTTGCCACGTTATCTTCTTCTGCGTTTACTTCCTGTCTAATGTGCCTATTTTGCGGTCGGCAATACCTGTGCCCCGTTTATGTAGCTCTCTCGCAAGTCTCGTATCATACCATATCATGGATAGAAATGCAAAACGCCGGAAACGTTATGCAGAGATGCCCCCAGAAAGAAAGGAAGAACTTTTGCGCTGTCAAAGGGCAACTAGCGCGCGTCGTTACGTTCAAATGCCACAAGATCAAAAGGATGATCTTTTGCGCGGTTGAAGGGAGGCTAATGCTGCAAAGAAACAGAATATGCCCCCTTCTACCTCTGATTGTGTGTCAACACCAGGCACTTCTAAGAGAAGGCGTCCAGATAACACTCAAAAAACTCCGTTAGATCCTGTAGGAACAACCATTAGTATTGCTGATGCTTCTGTGCACCCTAGTTCTACTCAAAATGCTGATCTTCTGGTCAGTGATGACTTAGGATGTAGAGCTTCACATTCTTTTCACGTTCAGTTAAACAACGTTTTGGGCGGTGCTCAACTACCGCACTTGTTCAGCTCTGCGAACGCTTCATTGGAGAGTGAAAGGCATGCTTCCTCTTCTGTTCTTGCAAATTCCATTCCTTCTAATGGTCAGCAAGGTAGACCTTAGCTTTTGCTTTTCATCTTTGGGTTTTAATTTACTTTCCTGATCACTGCCTTTGCACTACAACTTCATCTTATGAATCTGTTAACTACAACTGCAGCTTTTCTGCTCGAATGAACCTGTTAAACTTCATCTTTTTCCCTTCTACTTTGGTCTTTTAAACCAACTCCTGCAATTTATCTGCCTGCTTTCCCTTCTTCATCCACATTCATATTACTTATTCCTTATAACTACAACTTCTCTCTTTCTTCTTACCTTTTTATGAATGCTTAGCTCGTTTTCACTCACAGGAAATGCAACTTGCTTTGCCACTGTCAAAAGTGCTTCAGTGTCCAGGCAAACATGCAGCTCATGTTGCATTTAAATTGTGTCCAGCTAAATCCACTATCGTTGCCTTTTCCAAGTTTAGTTCTTGTCCAACTTTAGTTTATCCTCTTTTCCATCTTTATAATTATCTCCCCTACACCACATAATTTATACACATCATACTGCAAATATCAATTCTGGTACTTTATTAAATTCATACACTATAATGCTCATTGTGGGCATTACATCCATTCTTCACCGTGCGCAAGCACAGTATATTTCTGCTAGTCTTAAGAACACAAGAACATAGATGGCCTCCTCCCAACTACATTGCCGAATCTTGCTCCGAATCTAGCTCTATGCCAACAGCTTGTGAGCACAAGAAAAGTTTGAGCAGCTAAACAAAGTGAGACTAACCAAACCAAAAGCTAAAAATGATCACACATTATCTCCTTGTTAATCAAACACTAAAGTGAAGGATCAAATAACAAATTCGTATCTTTCCCTAAGATCTAACCACTTGCAATCTTGTCCTACTAGTTTCAGATCATTTGGAGTTCCATAACAGCAGCTGCAACATGCAAATGAAAGATGGTGCAAGACTTTAGGCAAGGGTTTTCAATACAGAAAATTGGTAATAGAGGCAAGTATAATTTTGTTTTCTTAAGAAACCTGAGGCTCAGAATTTCTTGCAACAAACCTTAATAGTTAAACAAATGTTTTCGAGTTTTAATTAACTTTCTTTCGTGTCTAACCGAGCTTTAATCAGTCATCATAAGATAAAATTGCAATACACCGAGCTTTAACAATATAGGAAACCACACTCAATCATTCATCATAAGATTAATTTGTATGTATAATAAGCTTTATTAAGAATACAATACTCTGCCTTGTACCTTTTTTGGGACAATTAGAAAGAGAAAAGTTTCATATAAATGTTAGTAATTGTATAGACTAACATAGTGCCAGCTTTTACACACAAAAAAAAAACCACAAAAATGAACAAACTTTAATATCAGAACCTAGAAAAGTGGACGAAAATCACATATTTGTGAATCAAAAGACATCACAGATTGAATTTTGAAACCAGAACTCTATAATTCCACTTCAAATCACATTAAATTTTTTTAAAAAAAATGTGCAAACACCATAAGCATCCATGTTACAAATCAATTACTCCAAGTTTTTCAAATAATATCCCTCTATGCATTAAAATTTCCATATAAATTAAAAATTGCAGGAAAAAAGAAAAGAGATTAAGTAAGTTTAATTACCTCACATTTGAATCGGATGAGATCAAGGAAAGTCAGGAGATTCAGTGTAGAATTTTCTTAAGACAAGACCCAGGGTTTGGTCAAACAGGGTTGCTTGGACGAACAATTTCTACTTGATAACCCATCATATCTTCAAGATCTCTGCATAACGACACGAAAATGAAGGGAAACAACCACAAAATTGAAATCTACAATTAAATCTTACAAAATTTCTTCAAAAAGCTGATACAGAAGTGAAAACTGTGAGAAAGACGGGAAAAAAATTAAACAGAAGAACAACAGATAAATAGCCACAGAATTGAGCTAAATCTGCTATTAAATCTTACAAAATTTCTTCACCTTTTGGAAGTGGATCTATTTTTTCACGAAACAGGGGAATGACAACAAAAGTGTGTTGTCATAGGCAAAAAATTCATGTTATGACAAAAATACGTGTTTTATTAATGACAATAACACAAGTCCTCACCAAAAAATTAACACATTATGGGATAATAAGCTCTATTGTCATTAAATTTAATTTATTTATGACAAAATTAGATGTTGTAATTAAATTTGATATATATCAGATAATATTTAAGGCAAAAGCAGCTAAACAGCAAAACAAATCTGACTCCACGGCAAATATATGGATTGCATGGTTTGTAATTTAAAAATAAAAAAGGAAAAAAAGATGATAAACAAATATAAACAGGACAAGCAAATCAAACAAATGTAAAGTCTGCCAACTAAGCTTATAAATTTATAACCATTAAAAAAAATTGTCTTGCATCTTTTCCTACTTAACTTATATATTTCATTCTATTCAATTGTAATTCTTTGGCATCTTATATTTAACAATCCTTTATATATATATATATATATGGTTCTGTCCAATTAGTAAAAAAAATAACGATCTTAAAATTTTTCTATAAATATCTATGGTAAATTCATTCATCTTTAAGAAAAAAATTGATAACATTGCGGGAAAAAAAAGAAAAGTTACTAAACCCAGACCAAAAAAATCTCAAAAAGAAAAATTTCCACCAACATTTTGTTCCCCCAATTGATAGAGCAGTTATTTGGCACATTTTGCATTGTCATCTTATTCTAATTTTGGCTATTCATGGTGCTAGGAAAGGGAATTTCACTCATATTTGATATTTGTGTGAATTGTAGGTGGTTAGCATTAAAAATGATATCTTGAGGTGAATTTCCAGAAGACTTCTCATTTCAAGGCGTGGTCATGCCTTAAAAGGTAGACATTACCGAAAGCCAGACTCCGGTCCACGTGAACCGCGAGAAGCATGGGATAAAAACTCCAAAAGGCTAGCTTTGCTTTTGTTTTCAATCAATTGGGTCACGTTTGAGAAGCTCCTGACGGCGGCTATATAAAGAATAAAAAGGGAGATTCAGAGGCATCAATACCTTAGCTTTAGTTTTCTTTTCCCAGATCTGTCAGACGCTTTTTCCCTTTTTCTTTCTTCTCTTCGGTAGCAATTAGAATAGGCCAGACGGCTATTTTCCTTTTGATTTTTACGCTTGCTCTGGACAATTTCGGTTAGCCTTTTGCTTCGTACACTGGTGGCTCCAAAACGAAGACGAAGGCAGGGCCTTCTCTGTTGTTACTGCAATTAATTCCCATTCCCCAATTCTTCGGCGAATAATTGAATGACTTCAATTAAATCACGCGGGATTGACACGATGAGGAGCGGCTAATTTTCTCCTCTACCCAAAGGTTGACGCGAAGGCGCGGTCCATAATATCTGTGAGATCTAATCGAATCTTCATTATTTCTCCCAATTTATTACTATTCGTGCGTTTCCTGAATTAATTGTTCATGGGTATTTTATTAATTGAATATCAACGGCCGGGTATTTGATTTAATTTAATAGTCTACTGCCACGTTAATTAAATAGAATCCGTAATTGTTCATTTAATTAACACCTCGTGGCAACCACCATAATTGGTTTTATGATGGGGAAACGCAAGATCTAACTTAAATAAACCCTCTTAGCGTGTTTATTGGTTAGGGTTGGATTCTTCTAGCTTTAATGCAATTGGGTAATTAAATTCCTACGGTCGTACCTAGGGTTGTTATCTGGTTAGGGAAGCAGTCAATGGTCGTACCTTGACTGTCGAAAAGGTAAGAAAGAACTGGTTGTCAGAGCTTATTGATAACTATAACCAACCTAGTGATGAATGGGTGAAATATCTTTGCATCGATGATCATTTAATTGGACCGTGCCTGAGCAGTTGATCCTTTGGGTAGAATTTTATTAATTGCTACTTTTAGTAACTTGTGCTTTGTGAATTAGTTTTGAATTTAGTTTGCTTTATTGTTATTCTTATTTTTCATTTACCTCCCATTAAAAATCCCCCATTCTATTGATTTGGAAAGAAATAATTTCCTACCCGCTCCCTGTGGAATCGACCCTACTTGCCATTGTATGCAAAATTAATATTTTTATAGACAAATCTGGTATATCGGATCAAGCAAACTCTTCGGGAATAGGGTGAATCAAGTAACCCATTGCACACCTAAGATCCCTGCTCTAGTACTTGGATTTGTTCTATAATTAACTGTGGTGGTAATTAGGACTTTTTAGTATTTATTATTGCACAGGTTCGGCACCTGTCAATTTTTGGCGCCGTTGTCGGGGAGCAGGCATTTGGATTACTTGTTTCTTTTCAAATTCCGTTTTTATTTTATTTTATTCTTCTTGGTATTTTTGCTTGTTTATGCTCCGTTCTTCTCGCACAGGTGAATTGGTATACGATCCTGAGGTTGAAAAGGCAGCGCGTAGGCGGAGGCAAGAGACCAAGAGACAAAAAGGAGGGCACTTATTTGCTGCAAACGAGTCAGTGGAAGACGAAGTAAGCATGGCCAACACCCAAACATTAAGGGAGCTGGCTGCTCTGGAGCTGACTCACCAGCCCTTATGCATCACATTCCCCACTTTGGCTGAGAATACTGCTTTTGAACTGAAGTCGGGACTGATTCATCTCTTACCTTCTTTCCATGGTCTCTCTGGCGAAGAACCTCACAAACACGTCAAGGAATTCGAGATGGTTTGCTCTAGTATGAAATCTCCTGGGGTCACTGAAGAGCAAATTAGACTGAGAGCCTTCCCTTTTTCCCTCAAGGATGCAGCGAAAGATTGGTTATACTACCTACCCGCAGGTAGTATTACAACATGGGCCCAACTTAAGAAGAAATTTTTGGAAAAATTCTTCCCTGCATCCCGGGCTGCAAGTCTAAGAAAAGAAATATGTAGCATTAAGCAGTATCCCGGGGAGTCCCTATATGATTATTGGGAAAGGTTCAATAAGTTGTGCACTAGATGCCCACAGCATCAAATTAGTGAACAACTATTGATCCAATACTTCTATGAGGGACTACAGACGTCCGACAGGAGTATCATTGATGCAGCAAGTGGGGGAGCATTAGCGAACAAAACACCAAGGGAAGCATGGCTACTCATTGAGTCGATGGCAGAAAATTCTCAACAGTTTGGCTTCCGTGAGAGTAATCCTACCCGTAGGGTCAACGAGGTAGAGACGTCGTCCATTCAGCAGCAGATATCGGAGCTGACATCTTTTGTACGACAATTAGCCGTGGAAAACATGCATCAAGCAAAGGCCTGTGGAATCTGCACAAATGTGGGCCACCCCACTGACTCATGCCCTATGTTGCAAGAGGATGGGGCTGAACAAGTGAACATGGCTGGAGGCGTGCCCGCGCCTCAAAGACCGTACGACCCATACTCCAACACGTATAACCCTGGTTGGAGAGATCACCCCAATTTCAGCTATGGTAATAGGCCACAAAATGCATTCCCCAATCGTCCACCAGGATTTCAGCAACCTTGGCAACAGAAGTCCCAACCCTCGTTCTCCAATTCAGGAAGTTCTTTGGAGGAAATTGTCAAGAGTTTGGTCACGACTACCACTCAGCTCCAGCAGGAGACTAGAACCCTAGTCACGACCACTGCTCAACTCCAGCAAGAGACTAGGTCCTTGGTCGCGAGCACTACTCAGTTTCAACAGGACACCAAAGCAAGCATGAAAGATATGGAGACTCGCATGAGTCAAATGGCAACTGCCATTAATCGCCTGGAGTCCCACGTCTATGGGAAATTGCCATCGCAACCTGAGGTAAACCCCAGAAATGTAAGTGCCATGACATTAAGGAGTGGCAAGGAGGTGGAGGGATCTAAGTTGACGATTTCGAAAAGCAAAAGTGAAGAGCAGATAGAAAAGGGAATTGAAGAGGAAGGGCGCATTCGCGAAGAGTCTAAGGTAACATCTATTCCTTCGATCCCTATTAAATCTAATCTAGCTCCTTTTCCTTGCAGGTTGGAAAAGACAAAGAGGGCAGAAAAGGAAAAAGAAATCTGGATGTCTTCCGTAAAATTCAAGTAAACATCCCCCTATTGGACGCGATCAAGCAGGTACCCAAGTACGCAAAGTTCTTGAAAGACTTGTGCGCTAACAAAAGAAAGTTAAGGGGTGATGAAAGAGTGATGGTAGGAGAGAATGTATCAGTTGTACTTCAAAGGAAACTCCCACCCAAATGCAGGGATCCAGGTATGTTTACTATCCCCTGTAAGATTGGCCATTCTAGTATCAAAAATGCCATGATAGATTTAGGAGCTTCTATTAATGTGATACCTAAGTCAATCTATGATTTCCTAAATTTAGGACCCTTAAAAGAAACGGGGATAATAATTCAATTGGCTGATCGTACATGTGCTTATCCGGATGGGATAGTTGAGGATGTTTTAGTGCAAGTAGATGGATTAATTTTTCCTTCTGATTTTTATGTGCTTTACATGGATGATAGAAGTGCCCCAAATCCATCACCCATTATATTAGGAAGACCATTTTTTAGTACTGGCCAGACTAAAATTGATGTTAGTAAGGGTACTCTCACGATGGAATTTGATGGAGAAATAGTCCATTTTAATATTTTTGATACAATGAAATATCCTGTTAACTCTCATTCTGTGTTTGCTATGTATACCACTGATCTCTCTGTGCAAGAATTCTCTAAGTTTGCTTGTAGGGGTAAATTCAAGGTTGCTGCGAACAAGTCCTATAGGATGAAAGCAATTCATGAGGTGAAAATGGAGAGAAAATTTAGGAAAAAGGTTGCACTCAATGGCCACATGGATCCCGGAGGAGGGCCGCCAATTATAAGAAAAATTCAATTACATCCAGACTAAAGAGTGGTGTTATGTCTAGCCAAAGACATTAAAAAAAGGCGCTGCTTGGGAGGCAACCCAAGACTTCTTTTGTTTTTAGTTTTCTTATGTTTTTGAAATTTTTGTTAAGTGTTAGTGTCATTTAGTGGATTGTTGTTTTGTGACAGGAAGCTGGCAGTTAGACATGCCTACGCTAGGTGGTCATGTCTAAGGAATGAAGTTTTGGAATTGACGGTCAGAAGACTATAACTTGCAAGGCGTGCCCACGCCTTCCAACCTTTGCGCCAACGACAGTCAAAGATTGACCAGGATCCTCTCTAATCCCACTTTCTACTTTTCTCTTTTCTTGTCTTGTATGGTCTTATCAATTTCCATTGTCTCAGCGTCTACTTTTCAATTTTCTTTGTTTTATCTTTGTCCAAGGTTTCCTCTTTGTCAACCGCCGCTAGAAACTCTCTCTCTCCTCCTCGCGCCATCCATCGCACGTCGCTGCTTTCCCCACCGTCACTATCTCTCTCATCAGACAGCTTTCTTTGCTCACATTGGATTCCAGCCACCTCACCCTCATCCACCTTAGTGTCTCACTGCACCCTATCGGTGGTCAGGGAAGTTTCTCGCCTTTTCTCCTTATACTTCATTCATCTTTTCTACATTGAGGACAATGTAGGTATTAGGTGTGGGGGGATGGCTTCCATTATTATCTCCTTTTGCTTTGCTTTTAAAAAAAAAAAAAAAAGAGAAACACAAAAAAAAATGAAAAAAAAAGAGGCGGAAAATGAAGAAAAAAAAAAGAAAGGAAAAAAGTGTAGTTAGTTGAGTTCTTTGCTATGATGAATAACTCAATCAAGGTGCATGGGCATGTGGTTAGATATACTAGATATGCATTTCATTTTGCCTTGACAGTATTGTTGAATGTTGGATATACTGGACTTGACCCACTTTTGGGAGCTTTTGGGAGCTTTTGAGCCATGCATGAGCACATTATTCTTGTTTGCTCTATTTTTGTTTGATTGAGTGGGTATCACACATGGTATCGGTATTCTAGAACTTGCTATTTTATACATGTCGAGACCACATTTTGTTGAACTGGATGCATTTGAAATGATAAGGGCATTTAGGATTTAATCTTCTTCAACTTTCTACAAACCATGCCTTCATCTTGTCTTCCTGTAGTGAATCTATTTGAGCTTTTATCCTTCGCTATTGTTTGATTAGCTGTGTTTGATAACCCATGACCTTTTTAGACTTTCTTGTTTAACCTTGTGTCGTCAAGAGATGTCTGAATTTCATTATTTGTGCAAGGCAAATGAATCTAAGGTGGCAAGTGTTGTCGGAATAGAAGTTGTATGGTGCTCTGTGCATCTGAGATTAAAAAAAAAAAAAAAAAGGGGGGGGGGGGAAAAAGTCGGCAATGAGCTGTGGGCAGAAGACTCCAGCCTGCAAGGCGTGCCCACGCCTTGCAAGACATATGCTCCATAAAAAAAAAAAAAAGAAAAAAAAAACTCGTGAGCAGAAGACTCCGGCCTACAAGGCGTGCCCATGCCTTGCGAACTGCTTGTTAAAAAAAAAAAAAAAAAAAAAGAGAAAAGGGGAAGAGTTTCGACACTTGCACAGTGAAAATGGCAAATGAAAATGCCTTGCTCGTGAAATTTCTCTGATGAAACGTTGTGGTTATGTGGTGGATATCGGACATTCTCTTGACACACTACACCCTATTTTTACCTTCTTATCCCGCCTTTTACCTAAACCCCATTACAACCTTATGAAAGTCCCTTTGATTTGTGTATTTAGTTCACTTTTGAGTGGTGGAGATATGATAAATGTGCAAGCCTATGGTAATGCCATTCTGTGATGTTGATTTGAGCGTTCCTAGTATTCATATATTTTCTTTGAATTACAACCTGTCCGGTGTGTTCTCATTTTGGCGACACTGTCAGGGATCAAAGGTGCTTGTGTTAGTATAGCTTATTGCATGACCTTTGCTCTTTCGGTTGCACTTCTGAGCTCCGAAATGCTTGAGGGCAAGCATTGTTTAGGTGTGGGGGGATTTGATAGAGCAGTTATTTGGCACATTTTGCATTGTCATCTTGTTCTAATTTTGGCTATTCATGGTGCTAAGAAAGGGAATTTCACTCATATTTGATATTTGTGTGAATTGTAGGTGGTTAGCATTAAAAATGATATCTTAAGGTGAATTTCCAGAAGACTTCTCATTTCAGGGCGCGGTCACGCCTTAAAAGGTAGACATTACCGAAAGCCGGACTCCGGTCCACGTGAACCGCGAGAAGCATGGGATAAAAACTCCAAAAGGCTAGCTTTGCTTTTGTTTTCAATCAATTGGGTCACGTTTGAGAAGCTCCTGACGGCGGCTATATAAAGAATAAAAAGGGAGATTCAGAGGCATCAATACCTTAGCTTTAGTTTTCTTTTCCTAGATCTGTCAGACGCTTTTTCCCTTTTTCTTTCTTCTCTTCGGTAGCAATTAGAATAGGCCAGACGGCTATTTTCCTTTTGATTTTTACGCTTGCTCTAGACAATTTCGGTTAGCCTTTTGCTTCGTACACTGGTGGCTCCAAAACGAAGACGAAGGCAGGGCCTTCTCTGTTGTTACTGCAATTAATTCCCATTCCCCAATTCTTCGGCGAATAATTGAATGACTTCAATTAAATCACGCGGGATTGACACGATGAGGAGCGGCTAATTTTCTCCTCTACCCAAAGGTTGACGCGAAGGCGCGGTCCATAATATCTGTGAGATCTAATCGAATCTTCATTATTTCTCCCAATTTATTACTATTCGTGCGTTTCCTGAATTAATTGTTCATGGGTATTTTATTAATTGAATATCAACGGCCGGGTATTTGATTTAATTTAATAGTCTACTGCCACGTTAATTAAATAGAATCCGTAATTGTTCATTTAGTTAACATCTCGTGGCAACCACCATAATTGGTTTTATGATGGGGAAACGCAAGATCTAACTTAAATAAACCCTCTTAGCGTGTTTATTGGTTAGGGTTGGGTTCTTCTAGCTTTAATGCAATTGGGTAATTAAATTCCTACGGTCGTACCTAGGGTTGTTATCTGGTTAGGGAAGCAGTCAATGGTCGTACCTTGACTGTCGAAAAGGTAAGAAAGAACTGGTTGTCAGAGCTTATTGATAACTATAACCAACCTAGTGATGAATGGGTGAAATATCTTTGCATCGATGATTATTTAATTGGACCGTGCCTGAGCAGTTGATCCTTTGGGTAGAATTTTATTAATTGCTACTTTTAGTAACTTGTGCTTTGTGAATTAGTTTTGAATTTAGTTTGCTTTATTGTTATTCTTATTTTTCATTTACCTCCCATTAAAAATCCCCCATTCTATTGATTTGGAAAGAAATAATTTCCTACCCGCTCCCTGTGGAATCGACCCTACTTGCCATTGTATGCAAAATTAATATTTTTATAGACAAATCTGGTATATCGGATCAAGCAAACTCTTCGGGAACAGGGTGAATCAAGTAACCCATTGCACACCTAGGGTCCCTGCTCCAGTACTTGGATTTGTTCTATAATTAACTGTGGTGGTAATTAGGACTTTTTAGTATTTATTATTGCACAGGTTCGGCACCTGTCACCAATCCTCCACAGGCACCACTTGCATGGCAAACAATTCTAATAACTGAGAATGGAATCAAATTGCATCATCACTCAACAAACAGTATTTTATATCATTTTGTACTACGAATTAAAGTAAATAGTATTTGATTGAACTAACACATGCTCTGATTGTTGGTTTTGATATCAATAAGACTTGAAGGCAACACGACGATTCTTTATCACCAAATCCTAAACAGATTTTAAGTTTAATCCAAGATATTTGATTAAATAAAGATGGTAATCTAAAACAATTAATTACATGGGAAGCACAAATAGTTTAAATAGTTATTAGGTATTTTTTTTTATGAGTACATGGTATGATGGTAACACATACTGATCTATTAAATTTAATTTATGAGAGAGTATGTCAACCCATTTCCAAAGACGAGGAAATAAGGAAAATATTTTGATTTCACCTTACAATATGGAAGGCAATGCTTTCAAATATAAACTTACTTCCTCACCACCAAATTCCGTAATCAGTCACGGAACAGGAATTACATTAGATGATGTTTCAGATAAACAAAATAAATATTTGGAAGCTAACACTAAAAAGAATCTCACAGAGCAAGTACTATGATCCCGTTCGTCCAAAGAGGAAAAAAGATTTAAAAAAGGCACAATAGTCATTAAAAAGACAAAAGAAAATAATGAATGATGTTGGTGAAGATTATCAAAATTGAGATTGGAACTAGATGCTAAGAAAAAGGGAATTTCAAGAACCATAAATTGAATATTAAAAAGAGAAAAATTGGAGGAGAAAAAAGTAAAAGGAGATAAAGAGTACCTGAGGATTTTAACTGAAGCCACCTTCCTTATTTTATCATAATCTTCTCCTTGTTGACCATTCACCCCCCTAATTCTATTGTTGAATTCTTCAGGCATGTCCACAAGAGATACCTCTTTTAGGGTGGTTACATATCTCAACCCATCTGGAATCATTTCCAATTCTTCACACTCCCCAATCCATAAACTTGAGAGCTTAGGCATGGCCCCTTCTTTCACCACCCACCGCTTCAAGTAAATCAAATAATCAAGCCTGAGATGTTTTAGTTCGGGAAATCCCCCTGAATGGCAGGTCATTTTTTGGCCCAGAAAAGAAAATGACCCAACTTCCAGTATTCTTAAGTTAGGAAGCTTCTCGAGTGTTCCCATTGGGTCTTCCTTAATTCTAGTATAACGCAGCTTTAATTGAGTAAGTCCTGCAGGGTCAGGAAACATATGGGATTGGTAATCCGGTAACTTCTTGCATATACCATCGTCGATCACTAATTCATGAATTTTCCTACTAAACAACACCCTTGAAAGAACATCCAAACCCCTGTTGCTGCCAAAATCAAAGTCATTGATTGTAAGTGAGCTGATGCACAAGCAGTCCAAGTTTGATATATGATTGATGATGTGTTCCAGGTCCTCGAGATTTTTATACACGTTTGCTTTGAAAGATCTGAGATTCAACATTTTGCATAAATCTTTTGGATAGCAAAATACGTTATCGAATGATTCAAGTATCTCCAACTGCTCGCTCAACCGTAGCTTACAACACTGAGGGGGCCACCAGAGGTTCCGAAGACAAAGATATTTCAAACGTTCCAATCTCTCTTGCAGGTCCAGAAAATCAGGATATTTCAAAGGTTCCCATCTCTCTTGCAGGTCCGGAAGATAAAGATATTTCAAACGTTTCAATTTCCATAGCACGTTCGGTATTTTACCAACATCACTATCAGATAAATCGAGAGTTTCCAAGTACTTTAAATTGCCCAAGGAATATGGTAAGTTTATACTCTGACCTCTCAATCTCAAACATCTCAAATGGATAAGCTTACCGACATATCCCAGAGGTAATTTGGGATAACAACTTTGGGAGGCCAAAACCCTGAGCATCTTCAAATTCTTGACTTGAGAATAGTCTACCAATGTATCACACATGAATGAGCGAAGATGCTTAGTTTGTTCTTTTGGCGGAAAGTTGTATTGAGAGATATCCTTTGGAAGCAAACGAAAGACTAAACCATACTACGCTTCATCTGCAGGAGGTGAAGGACTGCGATCGACCAGTTTATACAAATTCTCCTCTTTTGCCTTGGCTAAGCACAGATCTCTCGTAAGATCATGAAGCTGACATGACTTCAACCTTGTCACCGCACGCTTCCCCTCCTCATGTACTTTAATCTCAACCATGCATCTGTTTGCTAAGTCTTCCAAGTAACGCTCTGCAACTTCCAACATCGTTTCATTCTCTCTTCTATCATTATCAAATATCATACCTTCTCCTATCCACATCTGATATAAACTCACTACTCCAATGTCATAATCCTCCTTGAATTTACCCAAGTAAAGGAAGCATGATTTTAGTTGCCAAGGGAGGTCATAGTAACTGTAAGCTAAAATCCTTGGCACCTCTCCTTCTTTTCCAATTTTTCCTCCTTTATCCAAATAAGATTTGATATTCTTATGCACTTCATTCCATTCCTCCCAGGGTTTAGTTCTAAGAATTCCACCCAAAACCACCACGGCCAATGGAAGATTCCCACAATATTTCAACATTTCCTTCCCTAACACTTCCATCTTGCCGAAATCTTCACAACCTGTGTAGCATTAAACAAATTGAATTAATATCAACAACGACGCATCTATCGTTCATAAGCATCATGTTATCATTCAACAACTATACGAAAAACTTGATAGTAACCGATAAGTCTCCCGATCCAAAGACTTGAGACCTATCAATAGTCGCGGAAAAAGACTATCCTAAGCACGATTGAAAGACTCATCCAAGTCAGATGAGTCATCATTAAGATGGAGCTCCCCATTCCGAGATGGGTCTCCTATTCATTGGAGACGCATGAATTGCTAGTGACTCGTTCAGACTCGGTCAACTCAGACCGAGTCAACCTGGAGACTCAAAAAATTGCCACAACCATCTGAGTCATCCAGCTTCAACTCGGATCCAACGACACAACAAGCTTTCCGGTATTCTAAAATCCATGAAGAGGCAACGAAAATCAGAAAATAACACGTCAAGAACATTGAAAATCCATCAACACGAATTAAGAAAATACAATAACAAATGTAAAGAAAAATAAAAAGCATGAGATAGGTAAATAAAGAAACCGGGGAGAGGAAAGTTGAGCGGAAACAGAAACCAAGAAAGACTTGGGAAGAAGGAATTGGGTTATGGCTGTGGTGGAGCATGAAACCGACAAGACTGGGTCAGAAGTCGGGGAGCAAGATCCATTGAAACTTTGACTTTGACAGATCTATCCTTTATTGCCAGTAAGTGGTCGTAGTTATTGTGATTATTAAAGCTTCTTACTAAAAATTCGTAGGTAATTCCATTTTTCACTTTGAAATCCAAAACTTCTTAAATATTGTGTTCTGATCTTTAAATGTTTAAAATTCCTTATGAGCTCTTCTGACCATTTTGGATAGACATACAAATATGTAGCACACTAAAAATATATTTACCCAATATTTACTGTGATTTGAAACACATAATGATTGGTGAAACATCAATTTAAATCTTATAGTTAGCAATAAGGGTGAAAAATAGAAAAATACAAAAACACATAATCTTTACTTCTTATTTTTTAAAACTAATAAAAATATACATGTATTTTATCGCAAATTTAAAACATTCATTTATTTGGAAAAAATAGAGAATGAATTTTAAGAAGAATTACATATTTGTCTAATATTAAATGTGCGTCTCACTGACACAGTGACGATTTTGCTGCGCTGATGCAAAATGGTGACGGCCGCAACTGTTCATTTCAACCATGACACTAATAGACATGTTAGTTTTTCTCTTTTTCAAATCTACTGGATTGTATGAATCTGAAAATTAAAAAAAAAAAAAAGATCAAGCTGTTTAGGTAAATGGTAGTTATATTTCCATTGTAGTATTTCAATTGTCTATCGGCGGCCTTTTACATAAAATGAATTTAATGTGAATAAAGGAGAAAAATTTTACCTTCACCTCTTCTCTCCCTCAATGATTTCACGCGTAACAACTCCGATTTCTTTCGTAGCAACTCCCAACTTTCTTCCGGTTTCAAAAGACGCAGTTCATGGCAATAACCATCTGGATCAACTTGTACCGCCACGTCTCTAATACGAGTTGTGAGCAAAATTTTGGTTCCATGCTCCGAAACTGGGATTGCATCTTTTAGCCTATCCCAAGCATCTGTTGTCCAGATGTCGTCGAGGACTATCAAACATCTCCTAGCTCCCAAGTGCTCTTGAAGTAGCTTTGCTAGCTCATCTCGTTCGCTCTTCATTATCTGTTTTCTGTTTTCAGGAGTGAGCTCAGGAGTAAGGTTGAGTAGAATGCCTCGCAAGAGAGCTTTTGGTTGCCATTGTTGTGATACACAAACCCACGCAAAACCTTTAATATACTGCTTCAATTTCTCATGGTGATATACCTTTCTAGCAAGAGTGGTTTTGCCTATACCTCCCATGCCGACAATCGAAGCCACACTTATTTTGCGCTCTGTACTTTCACCCTCTTTCAGCAAATGTTCAACCAGCCCCTCAACATCATTACGCAGTCCAACCACATCCTCCTCAGCTACAAAGGGGTAAGTCTGCCCTAATGGTTGCTGCCTGGATGGAGCACTCCACTCTCCTTCCTCCGTTCTGGCAATTAAATTTACATACCGGCCAAAATTTTTGGTGAGATTAGAGATCCTAGTTCTGAGACTTTGAATCTTTAAACCCAAATCATGAAGGGCATACCCTTCTCTGGCAATACAAGCAGTCCTCTTTAGAGCACGTGTAAAGCCTTTGTTGCTTGAAATTGAAACCCTCAAAGCATAGTCTTCAACCAAATCACTTGAGGATAGGCTTTCTGCCATTTTGGATGAGATTGATGTATATTTTCTGTAATGGATGGAATTCACTAGCACAAAATGATGGTTTAACAGGATTGGTGTTGTTTGAGTGTTTTCTGCTGATGGCAGTTATTCGAAACTGATTTATGTGAAGACATGGACATGTTATCAGCATAGCATAGAGAGACATGTCACTTTTGCCCCTTTTTTTTTATTCCCTGATTCTGAAGACGACAACTTTTACTTTTTCTAATTCCCCCTCTACAAACGGAAACTGATTTATGTGAAGACAAGGACATGTTATCTACTTTTGCTTTATTTTATTCCTCCTCTACCAAAGAGAGACAACTTTTTCTTTTTTAATTCCACCTCTACAAAAAAAATTCCCCGTCTACGAGAAGGGAAAAAGCAAAAGAAAAATCCCGCTCCGCAATAAGGTAACAAACAAAAGAAAAATTCTTTGGCTTTGCATATGAACAACTTGCTTTATTCTACTCCCCCTCCGCAATAAGGGAACAAACAAAAGAAAAATTCTTTGGCTTTGCGTATAAACATCATCTTGCATTATTGCTAGTCCAATGCAAAAATAAAAAAATGAAATTAAAACTAAAATCTACAATCAATTCTAGCTCTTTGTATATCTTCAAAATTGTAAAATATTTAACAATTAACAGCTAAAAGTTTCGCGATAATATATGAAAATTACAAGAACAGTATTGCTAAATGATGCTAGAGAAAATTGAAAGATTATTTTGTGAGATCTTATTGTTGTGAAATATATCAAATGCAGGGAAAGAAAAGAATTAAAAAAATAAAAAATGAGGTCATTTTCTTATCCTATTTATACTTTACTTTCATAATCGCTGTGTTTTGTAAAGTTAATCATAATACATAAAGACCCTAATTGTTTTTCTGATTAGTCCACCTAAATTGGGTCTTAGATTTTAATCCATCATCTGAATCCGAATCCAGCTGTTGTTAGGCACATGCTCCCCAGCTCGAGCTCCTTGCCAAGTTCAAGTTTTTTAGAAAGGATAGTTCATGTCCAAGTAAAATTTAAAGTTCATTTGGATTGCAATTTTTCTTCAAAAAATTTTTATATTTTCTATGACTATATTTTTTAATCACTTTTTTACTCTTATATATATCAAATCGTTACAATATAATTTTTTATAAAAACTTCAAAAAAAAATAGTAATTCAAACACGCTAATTCGCCTGTAGAACAGTACTTGGCCAATGGTTCCACGGCGGTGGAAGTTAATTTCTATAGGGATTCTTGAGGCACTCATGAATATAATTTGATCCCTAAGCAAATTTTTTTTGGTTATTATTTATTGATTAATCATTAAGGTCCAATGCTTTCTCTTTTTGGCAACGTGAATTAAGGTCGCTTGACTTTCATATAGTCGTCATTGTATTTTGGTTATTCATTTTTTTTTCCCATTTCAAATTGGCAATCAAACTACCATAACATCGCGCCTATTCCACCTAACTTAATTTATGGGTAAATGGTTTTGTCAATTGATGGTCTCACATTTAAATAAAGAATATTTACTTTAGTTACTTTAACTTTAATAGTTTCATAAAATCATTAAAGTAATTATCTATTTAAGGCTTATTTTTCAGCTAAATCATTTTTCATATTTGTAAGCTAAAATAATTAACTGAAAAAATGATCCCCGGCACAAATAATTTTCCTTCCTCTCAACTGTTTTTATAGACAGCTTGTTGGAAAAAGTTGCAACTGATAAATGTGATTCCATGAGATTGTAAGAAGTTTTACAGAGTTTAGCGGTGAAGTTTTTCGGAGTTTACCAATGGAAGTATCTCTTCCTTCCTTGGTCTTTAGAAGAGAGGCTTGATAGTTTGTCCTATTGGCTCCTTTTTTTTTTGTTTGCTTTAACAAAAATTAAGGAACATATAATGATAGAGTAACACACAACTAAATAATAATATAAATAAATTTACAACTAATGGAAGAAGAAATCAAAATTTCAAATATAATGACACTCAACTCAGGATCTCTTGCACTCACAGTTTTAAACTCTAATCGCTAAATCAATGCCTCATGGCATAGTGGCCAAGATAATGACTAGTTTGTCTTGCTTTAAAATCAAATCCGAAGTTGGATAAAGTTTTATAACAATATGATATCTATTCAAAAACGTTTTCAGACCAAAACACGAGAATATAGCAATAACAACTAACTAAGTTTTTTTTTCCCAAAATAATACTCTTTTCCAAAACTATTCCCAAAGTGATTCAATTCCAAAATTTATCTCCAATGATACTTTTTTGAGTCTATTTTCCAAATAATCTTGTTCTGCAAAATATACCCAAACTGATTTAATTTCAAATTTTATTGCTTTTCTAATTTTTTATTTGCCATGGTGTGGAAAAAATAAAGCAGACTCTACTTTCTTTTTCTAATCTTTTATTTGCCAAGGTGAAGAAAATATACTATACCAATTTGATATATATGAGATTAAAAAAATGATGATAGAAATTTGTTCAAAAAAAAATATATAAAATTTTCGTTAGAAAACTGCAATCCAAACAACGTCTTAATAACTTTGAACAAAAGGGAAGCCATGTTAAATAAAGAAAGAAGTGCTTGTTCCAAGTGTTAAAATCAAACAAGACAATGAGAGGTTGTGTGCAGTAGTAGTGTTTTGATTATATCGATTCACTTTTATGCACAGAATTTGGCAAAGATTTCCGGGTGCATTGCTGTACGTTTTGCTCAGTTAGTTGAATTAATTTCTGAAATAATATTATAATATGATGTGAACTCGATTCTCCAAGGACCGCTTGAGAAGAAACAAATTGCATAGATAGCTGAAGGATTTATCTTGATCACGTTATTGACAAATTGGATGGATTCTAAATAATCAAGGACCGCTCGAGATTGATTAGCAAGGTAGAATGACGCCACAATTCAACGTGGTCTTGAATTAATAAGCCAAACTTGAACAAAGGAGACATAACTCACTTTGTATCAAAAGAAGTTCCTAAGGAACAAGAAAGAAAAAAAAACTCTCAATTTTTATTCACCTCATAATTGCCTTACAATGGAATAGAAAATGCCTATTTATAACTAAAAGCAAAACCACTAAGACTAATCCAATTTGGATAAGGATTGAGTCCTTATTTCCCTAACTACTTTTGAATGGCTCAAATAGCTCACATAGCTGGCCATATTTATTCATAGTAATGACTGCTTAACCAACCAAACAAGAAAAATTAAACAAAACAAAAGAAACTAAAAACATGAAGATCAGATAGCTAGCGCTCCATCCCCTCCACGACTTCATGCATTCCAATAGGGTCTTGAACATCATGGATTGGATTGAAAAAGCTCTCAAGCATCTTGGCATGAACTAGTGATGGTCCCATTGCTTGTATCATTTCCCTCCTCTTGAAAGTGATTCGTCCTTGAATCAAGATTTGACCAAAAGAAATACAAATGTGTAGCAATAATAGAGGAGTTTTCGTACTGTAAAGGGGGATTGTAATGAAAATAAACTGAAAATTTCCCTTTTTTTCACACAATTAAGGATTGAAAATAATAGATTTGATGGACTCCCAAAGATGCTAGAAATTAGACAGCAAAGGAAAGTTGTGCACAATAAAAAAAGGAAAGTCACGAACTTGCTAATCCTAAACAAACTAATAATTGGAAATTCTAAAGGCTCTTCTATAGAGAGACAACTATTGCTTTTTTTTATTCCCTGATTCTGAAGACAACTTTTACTTTTTCTAATTCCCCCTCTACCAATGGAAACTGATTTATGTGAAGATTTCTAATTCCCCTCTGCCAATGGAAACTGATTTATGTGAAGACAAGGACGTATTATCTACTTTTGCCTTTTCTTTTTCTTTTTTTTATTCCTCCTCTACCAACGGAAACTGCTTTATCTTAAGAAGAAGAAGGAGATGCTATCCGCGTAGAGAGACAACTTTTGCTTTTTTAAAAATCTTTAAGAGAAGGAGATGCTATCCGCGAAGAGAGACAACTTTTGCTTTTTTGATTCCAACTCTACAATAAAATTCTCCCTCTACAAAAAGGGAACAAGCAAAAGAAAATTTCTTTGGCTTTGCATATAAACAACTTTTGCTTTATTCTATTCCCCCTCTACAAGATGGGAACAAACAAAAGAAAATTTCTTTGGCTTTGCGTATAAACATCATCTTGCATTATTGCTAGTCCAATGCAAAAATTGAAAAAAAATTCAAATTAAAACTAAAATCTACAATCAATTCTAGCTCTTTGTATATCTTAAAAATTGTAAAATATTTAACAATTAACAGCTAAAAAGTTTCACAATAACAGATGAAAATTACAAGAACGGTATTGTTTGCAAGAGAAAATTGAAAGATTATTTTGTGAGATATTATTGTTGTGAAGTATATCAAATGAAGGGAAAGAAAAGAATTAAAATAAAAAATAGGGCATTTTCTCATCCTATTTATACTTTACTTTCATAGTTGTTGTGTTTTGTAAAGCTAATCATAATATCCCTAATTGTTTTTCCGATTAGTCCACCTAAATTGGTTCTTGGATTTTAATCCATCATCTAAATCCAAATCCAGCTGGTGTTAAGTACATACTTCCCAGCTCGAGCCCCTTGCCAAGTACAAGTTTTCTAGAAAGGATAGTTCATGTCTAAGTAAAATTTAAAGTTCATTTGTATTGCAATTTTTATCAAAAAAATTTGTATGTTTTCCATGAATCTATTTTTTAATCACCTTTTCACCCTCATATACATCAAATCATTACAATATAATTTTTTACAAAAACTTAAAAAAAAAAGTCATTCAAACATGCTTATTTGCCTGAAAGACATTAGGCCAATGGTTCCACAACCGTCGAAGTTAATTTCTATATGGATTCTTGAGGCACTCATGAAAGTAATTTGATCCCTAAGCAAACTTTTTTTGGTATTATTTATTGATTAATCATTAAGGTACAATGCATTCTCTTTTTGGCAACGTGAATTTCATTTTGGTTGACTTTCATATAGTCGTCATTGTATTTTGGTTATTCATTTTTTTCCCATTTCAAATTGGTAATCAAACTACCATAACAT